ATATTATTGTTTTTAAGCTACATTAACAAAGTTTTTCAAAAATGCTCACTGTGAACACAGTGAATGTCAAAGTATATTCTTAAGTATTTTATACCTACTTGTAATTTTTAGAAGTCTTGTTTTGTATTTGTTAAACTGAATACAATTTTCAGATAATGTTTAAACATTACATTTCATATCTGAAGTAATTAAAAAAAAAAATGCAGTAGCCAGTTTGAAGGGACTCCCACTGGCCAAAACTGGGACAATTTGAACATCAAAATAAATAGTGATAGGGCTGGTTTCTTGGTCATGCAATTTGCATGTCACCCAGGACCCTGCACTCAGAATTTTAGTGCTCTGGAGTTACCAGCATAAAATTCATAATAATTTTATCTTTAAATTTGTGTATTTTATAAGTGAAATCTGATGGCACAATAAAGCATGCGGGGCTTGGAGTCTCTGCTCACACATGGTTCTGACTCCTGCTGCTACCCACTCCCCCCCTCCCCCCAGCCTTGCCCAGCCTTGCATCACTGCCTTCTCCAGGGCACCACCGGGTCACCTTGGCTGACAGAAGCCCACATTCCACCAGCACCTTCCACCGGGGCAGGAGCCTGGGCATGAGTGCAGGAGGAGTCAGGGTTGGACACATGCCCCATAACACCATAGGGTGGGCAAGAAGGCAGTGCCATGACACAGTCCCTTTCACCACCACCCAGGAATCATCCCCACCCGGGTCCCTGCATTTTGATTTTGCTCTGGGCCCCACAAATCATGTGGTCAGCCCAGGTGATAATAACAGATGGCAACACATGGAATAAAGTAGGAATCTGTAAATCATACTGACATATCATTTCTGCAGTATTCCTACCAAAAATGTATAACCTGAATCTATCTAATCACAAAGAAGCATTAAACAAACTCAAATTAAGAAACATTTTACAAAACAACAGACCAGTATTCTTCGAGAACTTCAATGTCTTGAAAGGCAATAAGTGAGGAACTGCTCCAGAATAAAAAATAAAAACAAAGAGACATGACAGCTAAATTCAAATATGATCCTGGATTAGTTTCCAGAGCAGGAAAAAAAAAATCTTTTGCTCTAAAGAATATTAATGAGACTTGGTAGAATTTGTATAAAATCTGAGATTAGATAATATTATGTCAACCTTAACTTCCTGATCTTGATCATTATAGTGTAATTAGGAAAGAGAATATCCTTGCTTTTAGGACTTGTACACTGAACTATTTAGGGGTAAAGGGCATCATGTGGGCAACCTATTCTCATGGGTTTAGGAAAACAATGTGTGTGTGTGTGTGTGTGTGTGTGTGTGTATACACACACACGTAAATATGGAGAAAAGAAAGAGTAAATCAAATGTAGTCAAATGTTAATATTTGTGGAATTTGGATAGCAGGTATATAAAAATTCCTTTTATTATTTTTGCACCTTTTCTCTAAGTCCAAAATTATTTCAAAATAATAGTTTAAAAAAACATTCAAGCCCTGGCCAGTTTGGCTCAGCGGTTGGCGCGTCGGCCTGCGGTACAGAGAGACCCGGGTTCGGTTCCTGCTAAGGGCACGTACCTCGGTTGCAGTTTGTCCCCAGCCCTGGTTGGTTGTGCGGGTGGCAGCCACTCGATGTGTCCCTTTCACGTCGATGTTTCTCTCTCTCTCTCTCTCTCTTCCTCTCTCTCCCTCCCGCTCTATCTGAACAAAAAATGGAAAAATGTCCTCGGGTGAGGATAAAAACAAAACAAAACATTCAAAAGTCTCTTCAGAACCATCCTTCCCCCTCCCCCAACCCCACTACCAGGATCAAATCTAGTGGCCCACTGATAATCTATCATTGTCTTGGCTTTCCCCTCTAACTCTTTTTCCCACCCTATCCTGCACTCCTGATCTTGGGGTTAGAATGGATTTGTAATGAGACTGGAGAAACCACCACCTGATTAAGTTACCTGGAAGGCCCTGATGATAATCCTATCACTGAGGCACTGGTGAGGATGAATGCACTGCTGAGGCGGCCACTGACATCTGAAAAGCTCAGTGTAGTTGTCCTTTATGGACTGAAATTGATAGAAACTGCTGCGGCAACAGGGCTCCCTAGAATCAAATAGAAATTAAAGAATTTCTGAATGGCAAAGGACAGATGGTAAGACATAACTACTATCCTGGGAAGCAAAGGTGGATGTAACCAGGCTGGCTTGACCAATAGGGATCTGTGGTGATGGTGAATAGGTTCATGGCACCCTTTTAAAGTGTACAATTCAGTGGTTCTTAATATATCCAAAAAGTTGTATGCTCACTATCTATCTCTAGAACATTTTCATCACTCTAAAAAGAAACCCTATATTCATTACCAGTCACTTCCTATCCCTTCTTTCCCCTAGTCCTTGGCAGCCACTAATCTTTGTCTCTGCATTTGTCTATTCTGGATATGTCATCCTAATAGAATTACTGTTATGCCCGGCTTCTTTCATGTTTTCAAAGTTTATTCATGTTGTAGTATGTATCAGTGTTTCATTCCTTGTTAGGGCTCAGTAATAATATCCCATTGTGTGGCTATGCCACAATTTGTTTATTCATTCAACAGCTGATAGACATTTGAGTTATTTCCACTTTTTGGCGTATTATAATAATGATGCTATGCACATTTGTGTACAAATTTTTATTCATTTATTTTAGTTAATCTTCACCTGAGGATATTTTTCCATTGATTTTGACAGAGTAGAAGGGAGGGGGAGAAACATTGATGTGAGAGACACATCAACTGGTTGCCTCTCGTATGACCCCGACTCAAACCTGCAACCCAGGTAGGTATGTGCTCTTCACTGGGAATCGAACCTGCAACCATTTGGTTGTCCAGCTAATGCTCTAACCACTAAGCCAAACTGGCCAGGGCAAAGTGTACACATTTTTGTATGAACCTGTTTTTATTTCTCTCCGGTATATGCCTAAAAGTAGAATTGCTAAGTCATGTGGTAATACGTTTAACTTTTTGAGGAACCACCAAACTGTTCCACAGCAGCTATAATGTTTTCCATTCCCACCAGCAGTGTATGAATGAGGGTTTTCATTTCCCCACATCCTCCATAACACTTATTTTCTGTCTTAATTGTAGTCATCCTAATGTATGTGAAGTGGTATCTCACCGAGGCTTTGATTTGAATGGCTGGTAGTATCTTTACTAGAAAAAAAAAATCAGTTTATCCTCTGGTATCCTCTGGTACACACACTTGGTATGTAACAACTAAACTGACTAATGCATCCTTCTCAAAAGGAGGATCAAAAGCAATTCAATTTAACTTGATGTTAAATAGGATCATATTCATTGGCTATAACAGGATTATGTGTTCCTACCCATTGTCATGTGACTTGACTGTATATCTTGTGGGAAGAATCTATGTTCCCACCCTTGACTTTGGGCCTGACCACATGGCATGCTCTAAACCAACAGAATGTTAGAAGACATGCTATTTGGAACAGTTGAGCAGAAGCTTATAAAATTCCATGTTTCCTCTGTTTCTCTTTCTCTCTATCCTATACTGATAGGGACTGCTCTGTGGAGCCTGGGTCTCACAATAAGATACATATAGCATGCGCTGGCCGGTTTGGCTCAGCGGTTAGAGCGTCGGCCTGCGGTCCTGAGAGACCCGGGTTCGGTTCCCGCTAAGGGCATGTACCTCGGTTGCAGTTTGTCCCCGGCCCTGGTCGGTTGTGCGGGTGGCAACCACTCGATGTGTCCCTTCACATCGATGTTTCTCTCTCTCTGTTCCTCTCTCTCCCTCCCACTCTACCTGAACAAAAAAATGGAAAAATGTCCTCGGGTGAGGATTAAAAAAAAAAAAAAAAAAAGATACATATAGCAGAACCTATGTACCTATAGTCACGCAAAACCAAGCCTGTCAGACAGTTGAAACTAGTACATTAAAATTATTATTATTTTTTTATTATTATTATTTTTTAATCCTCACCCGAGGATATTTTTCCATTTTTTGTACAGATAGAATGGGAGGGAGAGAGAAGAAGGGGGAGAGAGTGAGAAACATCGATGTGAAGGGACACATCGAGTGGCTGCCACCCACACGACCAACCAGGGCCGGGGACAAACTGCAACCGAGGTACGTGCCCTTAGCGGGAACCGAACCCGGGTCTCTCTGGACCGCAGGCTGATGCTCTAACCGCTGAGCCAAACTGGCCAGGGCTAAAATTATTATATAATTATTATTATTTTAAATCCTCATCAGAGGATATTTTTTCATTGATTTTTAGATAGAGTGGGAGGAAGGGAGGGAGGAAGAGGCAGAGAGAGGGAGAGAAACATCAATGTGAGAGAGACACATTAATTGATCGCCTCCTGAATGACTCCAACCAGGGCCAGGAATTGAACCTGCAACCGAGGTATGTGCCCTTGATCAGGAATTAAACCTGAGACTCTTCAGTCCTCAGGCCAATGCTCTAACTGCTGAGCCAAACTGGCCAGGGCAAATTATTATATATTTTTATATGCATAAAAGAACAAGGTCTCAAAAGCTCAATAAACTGTTAAATGTATTGATTAAATCAATGTATGCATGAATAATTTTCACTTTGTTAATTTTTGTATTGTTTGGATTTTTAACAAATGTATTTTTGTAATTCTTTCTTCACTTACCTTTTTTTTTTGTACAGATAGAATGGGAGGGAGAGAGGAAGGGAGAGAGAGAGAGAACCATCGACGTGAAGGGACACATCGAGTGGCTGCCACCCGCACAACCAACCAGGGCCGGGGACAAACTGCAACAGAAGTACGTGCCCTTAGCGGGAACCGAACCCGGGTCTCTCCGGACCGCAGACCGACGCTCTAACCGCTGAGCCAAACTGGCCAGGGCTTCACTTACTTTTTAAAAATATTACCCATACTGTCTATTCAACATAGATAGCTTAAATTAAGTTATAATGAATTTACTTTTCAAGAAAAAGAAAAATGAGTTTATTTTTTAAAAAACGAATTTGGTTTTTATAAAGCACTTTGTACATATGTGATTACATTTGTAGCTGTCCTTGAAAACACAAGTTTAAGATTGTTAGGTTAAAAAGTAGTATCAAAAAAAGAAAAAAAAAAACAAAAAAGTAGTATCAGTTCTTAGCAATCTCAAAACACCCTTTAACTATATGAATAATGGCTTCATAACAAATTAAATCCTCCCTAACCACCATTATTAATGCAAATTTGCTCAGCAGGTTAAATAGATGTGTCATATTTACCACCCCATATAACACCATACACCTCCTCTAAAACCTCATTTGCTCTGAGCCACCCCAATTCTCAATTTACTCCTTCAATTTGCCTGGGATGAGAAAGAGATGGAGTCAAAAGACTGACTAATGAAGGCTGAGAGGCATTCTGCCTTAGATGGTTAACTTGATTCACTTCGTCTACAAACACTACTATAAACCCTATTCCCAGCTATTTTATAAATAGTCTAGACTGTCATCCCATGATACTATATATGCTGCATTTGCAGAAAAATAGACCTCTTCTAAGAAACAAAATATTCTTTAAGACATTCATTTTTGCTTAAAAGGAAATTACTAATCTGTCCTGGTGAAAAGACATAAAAATGGCAAATAAAAGTACAGTAAACATTAAGATTGACAGTGCTAGTCTTAAAAATCATCATCTGTGATTTATTTATGTTTAAAATATATTTGAGAAGTACCAGACTATTTATAGTCAACGTAAAATTTCAATGGAACTTTAAGCAATTACAGTTCAACTCCATGTAGTATTAACTTTTCTTCTCTTCTGATTCCTCTGCCAGTTTCAACTTTTCTTTTAATTCCTTCTGATCTCTGGAATACTGTTCAAATGCTGGTTGAAATATATATATTCCTCCAGCAATTCCAAGGATGCTAGCAAAAAGCAGTTGTGGAAGAGTCAATCTTCCAAACATTTTTTTTCAACAAATGCCACACGGTGCAAAGACGGTTTTGACAAATTACACTCCCACTCAGGAAACCTCTTCAGATCTGTGAACAAAGATAATGAAAAACAAAGCAATAAATTAGTACAAGATCCTTTTTAAAGATTTCATGTCACTACTTTGCTCTGGAGTGAAAAGTGTTTTTGTCATATGTAAGTTATCACTTATTGATTTAACTAAAATTGGAATATATATATTTAGGGAGTATGGAAAACGAGCATTAGGAGATGGTGTAAAACAAAGCTAAATCCTATTACAGAATGTTCTCAATGGTTTTAAAAGGATAATTTAAAAGGGCATAAGTAGAACCAGGGAACCATATTCTTTATGCCTTTAAAGGCATGCCAATCCTTTAAAGTGGGAAATAGAGAAATGTTATTTTTCATTATTAGCCCATCTTTACTATCTCCTATTTTTTGGCAATATGTATGATTACAAACAATCGTTGTTTTTAAAAGCCTAAAAATTTTGAGTTTCCTCTGATGCTTTATTAAGTAGAAATGGACATCAAATATAAGTTGTTTGCCATCCATTTTTGACAAAAAATGTAACAGATTTGGCTGGCTTTAATTCTAACAATAGAGGAGTTAAGACTCTAGTACTTGGAAAGTTATACTCCTTGCATCTTAGTCTCTGGAGAAACTGGGTAGATGTTTATGAATGAGGAAAGCAAAGCACAGGATTTACATGTTTTCATTATTATAACAATATTTCATGGTCTCCTAGACCAACCCTGAAGGTCACAAAAATCATTAGTGACAGAACTGATGCTAGAAACTAGCTTGCCCTTAATATCACTAAAATATAATTTCAACTAATCTGGGAAAGAAAAACCTGTTTTCTCTTGAACTCTACCATCAACTAGATAAATGGTGAAGCATGTTTTGGATCAATGTCTGCTAAGTGTTTAAAAAAAAAAAGACCATTTGCTCTTTGGAAAATCGATAATTATGCCACGTCAAAAATGGGAAAGTTACCCTTCTGCCACTAGCTGGCTAGACCATGACCAAGTCATTTTACCTGTTTGAATCTCATTTTCCATATTCATACTACAGACGAAACCATCTCTATCCTTCCTACCTTGTTCAACAAACAGTTATTGTATGATGACCCAAACAGTGAAATGTTTCACAAACATGTTCAGAAATATCATTACAGGCATACCTCGGAGATATTGCAGATTTGGTTCCAGACCAACGTAATAAAGAGGATAGCACGATAAAGCAAGTCACACAAAGTTTTTGGTGTCCCAGTACATATAAAATTTGTATACACTATATTGAAGTCTGTTAAGTGTGCAATAGCATTATGTTTAAAAAAACAAGGTACATACCTTAGTTAAAAAATACCTTATTGCTAAATAACGCTAACCATCATCTGAACCTGCAGCAAGTCGTAATCTTTTTGCTGGTGGGGGGTCTTGCTTCGATGTTGATGGCTGCTGACTAATCAGGGTGGTGGTTGCTAAAGTTTGGGGTGGCTGTAACAATTTCTTAAAATGAGTGAACAATGAGGTTCGCCGCTTGGATTGACTCTTCCTTTCACGAAGTATTTCTCTGTAGCATGCAATGCTGTTTGAGAGCATTTTACCCACAGTAGAACTTCTTTCAAAATTGGAGTCAATCCTCTCAAATCCTGCTGCTGCTTTGTCAACTAAATTTATGTAATATTCTAAATCCCTTGTTGTCATTTCAACAATCTTTACAGCATCTTCACCAGGAGTAGATTCCATCTCAAGAAACCACTTTCTTTGCTCATCCAGAAGCATCAACTCCTCATCCCTTAAAACACTTGTTGCTCCGACGTGCGCTTTTATGTTATGGAGGCGGCTTCTTTCCTTAAACCTCTTGAACCAACCTCTGCTAGCTTCAAACTTTTCTTCTGCAGCTTCCTCCCCTCTCTCTGCCTTCATAGAATTGAAGAGAGTTAGGGCCTTGTTCTGAATCAAGCTTTGGCTTAAGGGAATGTTGTGGCTGGTCTGATCTTCTATCCAAACCACTAAAACTTTCTCCATATCAGCAATAAGGCTGTTCCGCTTTCTTATCATCCGTGTATTCAGCGGAGTAGCACTTTCAATTTCCTTCAAGAACTTTTCCTTTGCATTCACAACTTGGCTAACGGTTTGACGCAAGAGCCCTAGCTTTCGGCCTATCTCAGCTTTCGATAAGCCTTCCTCACTAAGCTTAATCATTTCTAGCTTTTGATTTAAAGTGAGAGACGTCCGACTCTTCCTTTCACTTGAACACTTAGAAGCCATCGTAGGATCATCGATTGGTCTAATTTCAATATTGCTGTATGTCGGGAAATAGGAAGGCCTGAGAAGGAGAGAACCGGAAAGGCCAGTGTGTTGGAGCAGTCACAACACAAACACTTATAGGTAAGTTCGCAGTCTTATGTGGGCGCAGTTCGATGTGCCCCCAAAACAATGACAACAGTAACACTAACGACCACTGATCACCATAACAAATATAATAGTAATGAAAAAATTTGAAATATTGCGAGTTACCAAAACGTGACACAGACAAAGTGAGCCAATGCAGTTGGGAAAATGGCGCCGATAGACTTGCTCCTCACAGGGTTGCCAGAAACCTTCAGGTTGTACAAGACCGCAATATCTGAGAGGCGCAATAAAGCAGAGCGCAATGAAACGAGGTATGCCTGTACGATTACTATTACCATTCAGACAAGTCCCACCGCTCAGCTCTCACGCCAAGTCACTGACCCCGCCTCTCGCCTGTCCCCGCAGAGGTGAGATCCGATCATCCCAGCAGTTTCCGGGTCTCCTGCGCACAGGCCGCAAAACCAAAGGCGGCAGCAATCCCGACAGAAGGCAGTGCCTCAGGGAGCGTGTGGCAAGCCCTAGGTAAAGTTTTGTAGCCTGGACCAAACCTGCAGCACTGGGCGCTGAAACCACCACCTCTAGGAGTTGGGGAAAGTTGCCCTTTCCCGGCTCCCTCTGCGCCTGCCCGGACGGCTGCTCGCGGAGGCCAAACTTAGTGAGCCCCGAAGCCCTGCGCGTTTCTCGAGCCTACCTTTGCGGGGAAGGCGCGGCCGGCTCCTCGGCGGGCGTCGGAGCCCCTGCAGCATGGAGCGAGAGCCCGGCGACGGCAGCCTCTTCTTCCGCGGCCTCCAGAACCGCGCCCACGAGAAGGTGAAGCTGCGGAAGAGAAAGTCGGCCTTGTACCTCCGCCCCCAGCGCTCCAGGCGCCGCGGAGGTGAGCGAGGGGGGAGGGCGCCCCCGGAGCCGCGAGGGCTCCATCTGCTGGGCGGGGGCCGAGCCGTCGGCGCGCTGCCGCCGGGATCTCAGCCCTGCCGCCCGCGCGGCCCGGGGGCTGCGTTCCTCAGCGCCGCCCTTCCCCGCGCGAGCAGCGGGCAGGCGTGAGGGACCGGCCTGTTTCAGGGTCCCGGCTACTCCGGCCTCCGCCGCTGCCACGGGCAGGGTCCTGGAGTGGGACCAGGTCCGGCCCCGCCGTTTCATCCGCCCCCTCGGCCTTGCGTGTGGGCAGGATGCGATGTTGGCAGGAGAAGCATCACCGCGCAAGTCGGGAGGGGGGATTTACTATAAAGATGGACTTCTCATTCATTCAGTAATTGTTGACTGTACGCCTTTTATGTGACAGGGACAGTCTGGACGGCTTGGAAAGAATGCCTCATTACTCCTCTGGAAACCTGAGACCAAGACAGGGAAACCTAGAAAACTTCCATAAAAACGTATAAATAAATAAATAAATAAATAGGAAACCTTTTTTTGCGTAAATAAATAAAGGTGAAACTTTTTTTGCGAAATGAAAAGTGAGATGGGAGGACTGAGATCGGGGACTGGGGAGGGGGCAGAGCCAGCTGGGCCCTGGCTCTCTCCTTCCTTCCCTTAACTCACACCTTGTGAGAAGTTGCATCCCGTCAAGGTCAAAGATAGTAACGACAATAAATCACCACGCTTTCGGCAGAGCTTACAGTTGAACTTTTAGGTATTCAAGATCAGTTGTTCAAGGGCCAGTTCTGAGTATTGTTTCTTCTGCCCAAGTCCACAGAGAAAGTTGGGAGACAAGGTTTTCTGACAGCAGAGATAGTCCAATGAGGTTTAAGTGTTTCTGGAAGATGAAAGTTCTGATGGGGCATTTATGTTGTTGAACGCACCAGTTGTCTGAAAAACATTTAAAATGTGTTTCATGGGAAGAAGGGGGGAGACCGGAAGGAACCCAGAATGATAGGAAAGAATCACAGTAGAGGTAGGTTGCAAACTCAGATACTTAGGAGGCAAACACAGGCAAGGCTAAATAAGTCAAAGCACCCTATATTTCAGTACCAGTCACTTGTTGCCAGTTGAGCTCTGTGTTGTCTTAGTTTTGAAATGCTGCAGTGCAGACTTTAATATCTTGGCAACTAACTTCAAAATTTATTATTATTGTTATCCTGACCTGAGGATATGTTTTACTGATTTTAGAGAGTGGGGAAGGGAGAGAGGGAGAGAAACATCAATGTATGAGAAAAACAACAATCTTTTGCTTCCCATACACACCGCCACCAGGGATGGAACCCAAAACCTGGTTTATGCCCTGACCTGGAATCAACCCACAACCTTTCAGTGCACAGAATGATGCTCCAACCCAGCCACACCGGCCAGGGCACTAAACTCAAATTTAAAAAAACAAAACAAAACTCTGAACCTTGTCAGAGAAAGACAAATATCACATGCTCTCACTTTTGTGTAGAATCTAAAGAACGAAATAAACTGATGAACAAAATAGGATCAGAGGCATGGATAAATGGAACAGAGTAACATCTCAGAGAGGAGGAGGAGGAGGAGGACCAAGAAGAGATCAACCAAAGAATATATATGTATATAGGTGTAGCCCATGGATGTAGATGAAGGCCTACATGTGGTGAAGGCCTAGGAGGGGCAGCAGTGGGTAGAGGGAGGCAAAGGGGGGAAAATAGAGGATCTCTGTAATGGAGTCATTAATAAGAAAATTAATAAAAATTAAAATAAACGCCCTGGCCCTGGCTGGTGTGGCTCGGTTGAGTGTCAACCCACGCACCACAAGGTCACCGATTCTCTTCCCTGTCCGGGAGGCAACTGATGGACGTTTCTCTCTTGCATTGGTGTATTTTTTTCTCTCTCCCCTCTCTCTTCATCTCTCTCAAAAACAAAAACAAACAAACAAAAAAATAAATAAAAACATACTAAAAGATAAATAAAATACAATTTAAAATATTCAGCCTATCCGCTCTCCGTCTATTAAGAGTAGGGTGTTGGAATTAGCAGGCAGACCTATTTTTTTTTTTAATCCTCACCTGAGGACATTTTTCCATTTTTGTTCAGATAGAGTGGGAGGGAGAGAGAGAGAGAAACATCGACGTGAAAGGGACACATCGAGTGGCTGCTACCCGCACAACCCAACCAGGGCCAGGGACAAACTGCAACCGAGGTATGTGCCCTTAGCGGGAACCGAACCCGGGTCTCTCTAGACCGCAGGCCAACGCTCTAACCGCTGAGCCAAACTGGCCAGGGCCAGACCTAGTTTTAAATCCTGTTTAGTCATTTACAACTGTTTTGACTTTCGACAAGGCAATTCACTTGAGCCTCAGTTTGCTCATTTGTAAAATGGGCTAATATCTACCCCATAGCATTATTTTAAGGATTAGATGAGATAATGCATGAAAAGGGATAAACTCAGTGCCTGGCATCTAGTAAGAACCTGTAGGGCTATTTTAAATTGTACAGATCATGTTATAAACCACTGTTTGGCACGTGTTACAAAGAGCTGCTTCCTAACTTAGTAATTTGTTAGCTGGTTTCTTTCATTAGATACATATATAGGATAACCTAATCCGCCTAAGGCCTTAGTTAACACAATCTCTTTTTTGGTATGTATTTTCTCTTTATAAAATAAGTTGCAAGAAAGATTGGTTAAATGAAAGGGCCAGTGGTGAGGCTCTGGCCCTTGTATAACTCTTGGTCCAGGTCTGCTTTGAGAGTAATGTGGAGGGGCCAGAGTCCACTATTGTGCCTGAGCAAGGGCCAACCAGAGCAGCAGATTTTAGTTCTGCAAGCAGAACTTGCCTGACTTTTGTGCCACAATTATCTGTTTTGTTTTTCAGATCTTCTTGGTGAAAACATTTATCTGGTCTTGTTTACGATAGCATTACGAATATGTAACTGCTTTTTAGTCCAGACAAGTTTTGTTCCAGATGAGTACTGGCAGTCTCTTGAAGTTGCACATCATATGGTTTTCGAATATCCTTTGTAGTTTCTTTTCCAGATTAGACATTTGTATTCATTTTAGAAATTGTGTCATTTTCTGTTACACATTTTCAATCAACCCTCCATATTTTCTCCAAATAATTTTTTTTTTTTTTTAATCCTCACCCAAGGACATTTACCCATTTTTTTGTTCAGGTAGAGTGGGAGGGAGAGAGAGGAACACAGAGAGAGAGAGAAACATCGACGTGAAGGGACACATCGAGTGGCTGCCACCCGCACGACCGACCAGGGCCGGGGACAAACTGCAACCGAGGTACGCGCCCTTAGCAGGAACTGAACCCGGGTCTCTCAGGACCACAGGCCGACGCTCTAACCGCTGAGCCAAACCGGCCAGGACTCTCCAAGTAATTTTAATTTTTCAAAATACGCCATTATTTTATGCTAATATTTCTTCTATATATTTCTTTGATGTTAATGTACTTGTCATAACTTTTAGCATATATTCCCACAGTGCTCAGTACTGTGGAGAAAATATATGAAATAAAAATCACATTCCTGCCTTGAAGAAGTTGAGAGTTTAGTTGACCAATTACATTTTTTTTTTTTTTATCCTCACCCGAGGACATTTATTCATTTTTTGTTTAGATAGAGTGGGAGGGAAAGAGAGGAAGAGAGAGAGAGAGAGAAAAACATCGACATGAAAGGGACACATTGAGTGGCTGCCTCCCACGTGACCCAACCAGGGCCGGGGACAAACTGCAACTAAGGTACGTTCCCTTAGCGGGTACCGAATCCGGGTCTCTCTGGACCACAGGCCGATGCTCTAACCACTGAGCCAAACCGGCCAGGGCGACCAATTGCATTTTTAATTTAAATATGTAGTATACATGAAATACTGTGTTTTAAGCTGCTGTGTTGAAAAATAAAATAGTTTTATATTTGGAAATGAAAGTTGGGTTTGTTTCAATGCTATTTAACATTAATCCTTAATATTACTAATTATGGTTATTTGACCTGGGAATGGACAGAAAGATTGAGGGGTTACACTTACCCCTTAATCTTTGCAAGCATTTACAAGATTCTGCATCTTTTGGGGAAAGATAGTGTTCAGTTGCTGGTAAGTTTAAATAAAATTAATCAAAATAGTTCTTAAAAGTAGATTTATTCCATCCATGTTTAAAGGTTAGTAGGTATTAAATAAATGGTATTATTAGTATCATGAAGTTTGTTTTTAAAAGGCTACTGTTGCTAAACTCTGACCATATCTGGGAAGCACAGGGTTCCAAAGACATACTGTGATGTAACTCTTCGATATGTGCTTATGTGCTAAAATACAAGCCTGAGTATGAAAGTGTCCTGCTGGGAGCAATCCTGTTAAGATTTTCAGAATGACTATATATTAATTATTTGGACTTTAGAAGTATATATGCTTCATAAAGAATTACTTGAGATCAGGTTGTATCGTATTTTTTTAACTTGTGAGCAGATGACCATGTTATATGAACTTCTGATGACTAAATATATATAAACACTCAGAACTTAATGTTGAAATGAAAACTTAGAAAAAATAAATTTGACAAAAATTTAATGATATGCACAATCATTGTGCTATGTTGTGATTAGGCCTCAATAGTAAATAGGGTTGTAATTCCTGGACCATGAACTTCTGGGGTTATTTGTCAGGAGAGTATACAAAAGAAGAACTAATGGTACAAAAGTTTCTCTAACCTCACTGTCAAGATCCTTTAAGCTGTCGTCAAGTTGGGACTCAGAATTTTGGACCTTCCCCATTTTTTGCTAGGGGACTACCCCAGAGTT